GCCGAAGGTCCACGGTGGTTGATTTCAGATCATACGGCTTCGTCACGGCTGGTGGAACTTTCATCAGGCTTTTCCCGGGTAGTTACTGTTCGTCACTGTACTCTGCAGACATACGGACAGCCTGGAAGCGCCGGAGCAGAAAAGTCAACGTCTGTGCAACTTTACTGGAACGCTTCTTGCGGCAAAACATTTTGCGACGCATGTGTTTCGCGATTATCTGCTGTCGTCTTGGCAAACAGTCACAGTTTCAGCTGCAAAAGGTTTGAGATTTTATTCATGTACTTAAGAACAAACCTTCCTCATTCTTCAGGATTTCTCTTCATGAAGAAATGTTTCGATATGGTTTGACTGTGGGGATAACTGTGAATGCTAGAAAAATCCTCATCATATACTCTAATTACATATTGTTTGTGTTTTGTTAATGATTTACTGAAACCTTTCTCCAGTGAAAGAAGCTTCATTTCATTAAACGTCACTTTGAGGTGCAAAGCCACTGCAATAATTTAATGAAAAGCACCAGAGCTGACTCCAATCCACAAATATACCCATTGTTCTTAAATGTAAAAAAAATGAGCTAAAGCTGTATGATGCTAACGCAGTTGTAAAAATCTTTTTGAAAAGCTCCCTGCCTGGAAACAAACCGGCTGTAACCACAGTGAAATGTTACCGTGAGGGAAGCTGGAGAGTCGTTGCAGACTGTTGAATGTTTTGCATTGATCTCTGGTCAGAGCGTCGTCAGCGTCTCTCTCCATCACCTCCAAGTCTGCTGTTCCCTCAAAGGCCAGGAACAGCTGCAGCACAGAGATACGAAAGATTAACCTCTCATCAACAGTTAGAGCATCAGTTTAGCTTAATCTATTAAGAGTTAATGAGTCCAAATGATCGTGGCAGCCTCAAAGGAACTAACAGTTACAGCCTAAAGACAAGATTACACAGTGTATCTGGATCTTATTTGGACACTACATCTATCCTTTACTAAACTGACTCAGTTTTATTTTGAAGGATCAAGTTCACCTCAAAACCTGTCATCAGCACTTAACCTGATTTTTTTTTTTTTTTTAAATCGGTAAAATAATGTGATGCATGTTTTTAAAACAGTTATATCCTCTGTTAAAAGCAGTTACCTCATTGGGGTCCACAGGTGCTTGACCCGGACTTGAAACTTCTCACCCTCCTGTGGCAGGTTTGGGTAAATAAAGGGCCCCAAGCGGTGGCTCCTCTGGGCCCTCAGACCTCTGGAAACACAGGTCTGCAATCAGTCTAAAGCTTTACACATTTGTGTAGATGTGGCCGTTACTAAAAATACATTTGTCTTTATTCTAACTACAGTACCTGGTCGTGTCGATGTCCCAATCATCCAGGAAGGAGGCAGGAGGCGTCACCGAGTGTCCCTGCAGAGAAACACGGATGTTCCTGTGTAAATAATGGCAGCACTGCTTCATCTTGAGAAACATAAACAACATGAACAATGAACACAAATACCAACACACACAACACCTTCTTGTCTGAGACAGTCCGGTCCATGGAGGCGTGTTCATGGTGACACAGGATCCTGCTGAGGCTCAGCCCGTCCAGAAAAGAGCTCAACTGTGAGGGGTTCCTCTGGTCAGTTGGAGTTCCTAACACACACACACACACACACACACAACACACACACACACACACACACACACACACAACACACACACACACACTACATTACTAGTCGAGTACTACTAAAACCCTTTGTCTTGTAACTAACTAAGGTTGCATCTTCAAAATGATTGTTTTGATCGACTGACGCCGTCAAAACCAAAAGAAAAGCAGCAAATGTTTATATTTATTTAAATTTAGACAATTATCAATTATATATTATAAATATTATCAATTCATCAAAAATAGAACACTGATTAATTTTCCTTTTTACTGTCTAAAGGTTGCAGCTCTAAAGCATAGGTGAACGATGGACAATATGATTAAAGCCATTCCTATATTTACAGTAGTTACTGTGTAAGACATTAATTCTTTAGGTATTGACTGTAACTTTACACGACTCGCATGTCCACACAGCGGTTCCAGCAACACCTCCCTCAGCAAGGCCACCGCATCCCGCTGCCACCCGTTCCCGCCAACCTGAGGAGGCAGAGAGGACGATGAAGAAAGAAAGAACAGATGAGAGTGAACATGTAACACACAACACCCATCACACACAACACACAACCACACACACTTACAGGGTTGAGGCGTGCAGCTGGCAGGGCATACAGAGCTGAAGGAACATCGTACACAGCAGCAATGGGTGCAGGGACCACAGGATGTTCTCCACACAGCACCCATAGTCCACATATTGTACCTGTAACACCGACATATTATCATTACCGATAAAGAACACATTAAAGCTTTTAATTAGTTTCCTATGCAGTTTAGCACATACTGCGCTGCGTAACATCACTCTTAGCCGTGCCACCAGTTGATTGGTACTTAAAAGTTTGTGACATAACAAGAAAAGGGTTTTTTGTGTGTGTGGTGTGTTTTTCCAGACCTTAACGTGTCCCTCCCCAGCACCTCCAGCAGCTTGTCCTCGTACCACAACAATCAGGGCAATAACAGCACAGCCAGGACCGACTTCCAGTTGTAGGGCTCCTGTCTGGGCAGCGTGTTCATGCTCTGCTGAATCCTCTCCCTAAGCTGCCTCCAACTGAGACTTGAAACAAGCACCGGACACCATTTATTTTATATCTCAGTTTTTATCTGCCACTTTCTCTGAACTTGAAACAACAGAGTTTAAGATAATAAAAAACAACAGGGATTTTAGAGCAGATACAAGCCTGCTCTGGCGCCTTTCAATCAAATACAAAAAGGAAAACTAATAAACATAACGCAGAGGCATAAAAAACAAGTTTAATCTTCTCATTAGCCAAGTGATGATTGTTGTCTCATGTGCACCTGCATACTGTGTCCTGGTGTAACATGAACCGTTCTCTCGATGGCGAGCATTTATCTGGATGTGACCGAGACACGGCAGCTCTGGGGGGTTGTACAGCTTGAGTCTTCACCTGTTCTCAACACACACAACACACACACACACATCAAAGCTTGATAAGACTGGGTGTGTGTGTGTGTGTGTGTGTGTGTGTGTGTGTGATATCACCTTCTCAGCAGACATAATGCTCGGGGGGGCTTTTGAGGGGTGGAGTGGAGGGGACGGGGGATTGGGAGGGAAAAGGAACGGGAGAAGGCGCCGGATGATTCAGAGTATAATTGTTTCTCATCAGCAGGGCTAAGAGTTTGTGTCTCGCTCACTGGAGACTGTCATCAGTTTCTTGGGTTTCTGAATGACAGCACCTCTGCACCAAAACAGAAAAACACAAACTCTGGGTAAACATTTGCTTAAAATTAAACACTGAAAATCTGCCATGACGAAGTACCAGAATACAGAAACAAAAAATACCAACTGAGGGCAACTGAGGATAATGTTTGAGTGTAACACCTCCAGAAATAGTAGAAAGATTAAAGAGCGCTTTGTAGAAGTTTCAGGAATGCGTCTGATCGCTCCCAAATTAATTCTGCAGCATGAACAACGAACCCCAAACATACAGCCAGAGTCCATTAAAGAACCCTGTTCAAAGACAAGAGAAACAGAGTCCTGCAGCAGATGGTCTGGACCCCCACAGAGCCCCTGATCTCCACATCAATGGAGTCAGTCTGGGATTACATGAAGACACAGGAGACACTGAGACGGACTAAATCCTCAGAAGAACTGAAGCAAGTCGTCCGAGATACGTGGAAAAACCACCTTGAAAAACTGGGCACACAGCCATGAGTCCTTCATTCGGTACGTCGGGCCATTTTTCAAGGTTGGTTGTTCCACGTACTCGGACGACTTTGCTCAGTTCTTCTGAGGATTTAGTCCGTCTCAGTGTCTCCTGTTCTTCTGAATTCCCGACTGACTCCATGATGTGGAGACAGGGCTCTGTGGGGGTCAGACCACCCATCTGCTGCAGGACTCTTGTTCCTCTGTCTTTGAACAGGGTTCTTATGACTCTGCTGTATGTTGGGGTTCGTTGTCTCATGCTCAGAATATTTGGGAGCGATCAAACGCATTCCTGAAACTTCTATCAAGCGTCTTTGATCTTTCTGAAACTATTTCTGGAGGGTGTTTACCACTCAAACATTATCCTCAGTTTGCCCCTCAGTGGTAATTTTTGTTTCTGTTTCTGGTACTTCGTCAGTGGCAGATTTCAGTGTTTAATTTTAAGCAAATGTTTACCCAGAGTTGGTGTTTTTTCTGTTTGGTGCAGAGATCTGTCATTCCAGAAACCCAAAGAAACTGATGCACAGTCTCCAGTGAGCGAGACACAAACTCTAGCCGCTGCTGATGAGAAACAAATACTCCTGATCATGCCGCGCCTTCTCCGTTCCTTTTCCTCCCAAATCCCCGTCCCCTCCACTCCACCCCTCCAAAAAGCAGCCCCGCAGCATTATGTCTGCTGAGAGTGATATCACACACACACACACACACACACACAATCACACACACCAGTCTTATCAACCTTGAATGTGTGTGTGTTTGTGTTGTGTGAGAACAGGTGAAGACTACAGCTGCTACAAACCCCCAAAGAGCTGGCCGTGTCTCGGTCCACATCCAGAAAATTGTCTCCGCATCGGAAGACGGTCCTTACAATGTACACCAGGACACAGTATGCAGGTGCACATGAGACAACATCATCAATTTGGCTAAAATGGAGAGATTAACTTGTTTTTATGCCTCTGCGTTAATT